AGTCAAAAAAGAACCTTAAGCTGCTATATTGTTATCAACAAAACAAATGGCAAACTACAGCTGATTTGTTGATATAATCACACCTGTTCAATGTTCACTTGAGATGATAGAAAAAAAACACCAAATTTCCCTCAACAAAGGATTAAAGAAAATGTAGATAACACAGTAACAAAATTGTTATTCTTCATAGTACTTGGTAGCTGAGGTGATCATCATCTTATCTTTTTTTTCGCATTTAATTAATCAATTTCCTATTGACTTCTGTGTATTGAAACCATTGAACATGAAATATCTCTCTTCTTTTTACTCTGTTAGCACAAAAAGTGGCAAATTTAAAAGATAAGTTATGTGGATAGTAAGAATACTGATAAAAAGAAGTGGAGACTGAAAAGAGAACAATTTGTAGTTGACTCTAACAGGTGGAATAATAAATGAATAGGTTTTTTTATGATTTAAAGGGTTAAAAATTAACCTGAGACCGATTTGTATACAGTAGAATGTGGAGAAACTGTATTGTTTGCAACATTTAGTGTGGTTTTAATGTGAAGAGAAAATAGTTTATTTGAAACAGGTTATTTCAATTGTGACTAATCGGAAGGGTTAAAATTAACCTATACGTTTTACTAAATTAGCATCTGCATGTTTGTACACAAAGTGTGTGATCCACACTTTTTTTCTTGGGTAAGGGGCATCACTCACTGGGAGGCAGGTACATCCAGCTGACGAGTCCCAAATAGGACGAAATGAGCATTCTGGATTTCACTACTAGCCACTATCCATCAATTCTATATATATAATTAAAACAGGTAATATCGAGGCATCCGCACAGGAGCCCATATACCAATAGAGGCCAATCAATTCTTTCCAATCAACGATGGGGTAATACAAGCAATTATACTGAAACTATACTCGTCGCACAAGAAGTGACTATCGTGGTTCATTGGTGTAGTGGATTACGCTCTGGTGTTTGAAGCAGTCGGTCCCAGGTTGGAATCCCGGTGGGAACAATATCATTCACTGGCAGGGAGGTATATCCAGCTGACGAGTCACGAATAAGATGAAACGCGCATCCTAGATTCTACTGGTAGCCACTATCATTACGATAATTAGCTATGTTGAGGTGAATTTGTAATCAACCAGGTACTTAGGACACCAAGTTACACCATTGTGAATCTTTCATCGTTATACCTACATTTCATACTTCAGCAAAGGTATTCGACAAGACGGTGCATAACTATAGACAGATACTGAGTGGTGGTTGAAGGCTGTGACAGGATTAGAACCAACGACCTCTGAGGTTATCGGCCTAACGCTTTACCAAATGAACTGCCAATCCCCAACTACTGAATAGATGTTAAGCTCACTTCAATCAACAAGGATTTTGCCCCAATGCCGAATTTAAACAAACAGTATATTACACTAAAACGCGTATTCATAAACATCCTGTTGAATGGTCTCAACCAAAAGTAATTGTTCATTATCATTTTCACTATCTGATTGAAGTGAAAGACAAATGTGGCCAGAAGTCGGGCCTGGTAACTCAGTTGGTAGAGCACCGGGTTGGAAGTCCGGCGATCCCCGGTTCGAATCCCACAGCGACCCAAATTTTCATTTAACCTCCAATCATCACCCAGTATCAATACTAGTTTGTCAAACCACGCCTATCTCAGGTAGTTAAATGATAATCAATATGATACTCCCCCCACCTATCTTATTCAGTTAGATTTGGATTGGGATCCGAAGTTCTGACTGTGGGCAGCCAATGTGGGTACGGTTACACGGTAGTAAAGCGTCACGAATTCACATGGCAATCAGGCAAAAACTATGGGGACTGAAATGAGATAGATTTGTGGTCAACAGTCAGGTTTCGTAACTCAGTTAATAGAGTACCCTGTCGGAAACTCGGTGGTTGTTAGCTCGAATCCCAGCGCAGCCAAAACTTACATTTTACCTTCAATCATCACCAATTATGAATTGCTTATTCTTAATAACGCTGTCATTAAAAATGGAAATACTCTTTGAAAGTTATTCAATACCAGGATAAGTACACAAGTCATAATGAGATGTATACAGAGTATGTGGATTGTTTGTTGTTTTCGGAAAAAGCGTGTAGTATTCATCAGTTTACGACTTATTTCTACACTCAGAATATTAGCAACAATTTGATTGCAAAAAATCCAAAGTTTAATAGATTACGTCATACATTGAATTTCTTCTTCCCTTGTGATTGATTCAGCGAAGTCGTACGCTCTAATAAATCAATTCGTCGTAGTTTAGAAAGTGAACTATTCTAATTAGAGTACGATAAAGAAGTTGTCAGCAGTTTGATTTCACAGCTCAGCTGATAGGACACCCGGGGCAACTGGTTCAAACTGAAATTTTAATTACATACTCTTCGAATATCCAATCTGTTGTTTTTTGCTTTCAGTAAAACAAGATGGATTAAGAGAAAATTAATTTTTAAGGTAGCACTCATCATGGACTGATATCATTTGGTGAGCTGTTGAAAACCTAGGAACACTAGATAGCTGTTTCGTCCTACTATGGGATTCCTGAGCAGTACATGCTCACAACACCACCTCGTCTTAACATGGATAGAACTCAGAACCTTTGGGTTTCACTGGGCTGAGAATACATGCTCCAGACTTTCTTACTTCTATCAACTCACGATATAAAGCTACTATCCATCATAGATCTTCACTTGGCCTATGCTTCATTTCCGATTGATTGATCCCACAAGTCACGACTTCTCATTAGAACTTCCGGATATCCAGCTCGAAGCATGTCAACAATGAGCATTATACAATAATCTACTTTGAAGTTTATGGGGATTTTATTGATTTTAAGCTGGTACTCATCACCGACCGAGAACACAGTGCACATTTTCTTATTTCCATCAATTTAAGATCCCTGATGAGATAGCGAGTATGTAATGCTGAGAATTTCCATACTGGGACGAAACCCCAACTGATGTCAATCCCTGATGAATACAACTCCAAATCAATAAAATCCCCATAAACGTGTTACTGATTGCTTTCATTCACACCTTGATTAGTAGTAGAAGTTTATCGAACTAAACTTGTATTGGTTGCATGAGGAAAGTCTTCACCATGAGATGAGATCAGTTGAGGAGTCGTACAGTTGTTTCATCTAAGTTCGACACCCCTGAGTAATGCGCATTGAAGGCCGTTAACTTCCATGCAATCCAGACATCTATTTCCTACCTCTCTCGATTCACAACAAAGCTCTTTCATTATCTGTTATCATTGGTAGACTTTCTACCTCACTTCCGACCTAAGTGAATTCTACCTTGAACCCAATCAGTCGGCTTAAACTACCAGTTGAACTAATCACTAAACTAAATAAGTTTAAATCACTGTTCAATGTTCAACATGAGTGTAAATTTGCTTTTATTTATTACTGAATGATATTGATTATCGGTAATCCGAAGAAATTCTGTTCTTTCTATGAAATTTCAAGTTATAGAATGGCATCAATCAAGAAATTTTGAATCACTTTTATGATTTGAAGTATACGCTGCTCAGTTAGCCTTTGTAGTGTTTGGAATCAACATAATGAACGTAATCGCTGCGACCTCGATACATGGGATATTCCAAACCACATGTGGTTTGATATATATTTATATGCCTTGAATCATGGATTGACATCAGTTAGCGGATTGATGATATGGATATCTTGAAGTTCGAGTGAGAAGCCATTACCTGTGGGGGTCTACCAGTTGTAAGTGAAACAGACCCCAACTGAAGACCTTGGTGGATAGCTATGTTATATCGCTTTTGACAGAAGTAGAAAGCTATGGACCACTGTACTCGGCAACGCGTTCTCCACGAGCAAGACCTGAAGGTCATGAGTTCGGTAATTGGCGCTGTGTAGTCGTGTTTACGTACTGTTGAGGAGTGTCATAGTAGGACAGAACAGTTGTCCATTGTTCCCAGGCTTTCAGTGGTTCCCCAACTAATGTCAGTTCATGACCAATACTATCTTAACACTGAAAATTCTCATTAACCTCAGAATATACTTTACCTTACTTCGCACCTAGTATCAGTGTGCAAATGGAATGTAGGAATCAGAAACCATTATGCTCATGAACTTGAGAATACATGACTACATTGGTCAAACCTGAATCATGTTATAGCGAAATCATCAATTGCTCCATGGAATTTGAGCAGAAATGCATTACATTGTCTCCTGACTAGGCATACATAGTCGTGACTACCTGGTGTATAACTCAAAGTATCAGTGTATATTTGACCAATTACCTTTCTCTGTTTAATGAAAGACTACTTTCTCAGCCAAAATTTAGAAATTTGACTGGTTATTTCAGTAGGTGCTAAGATAACCTTTGAAGTCACTCTACAAAATATACAGCCGATTGAGGAGTTGATTTATATACATATATACATACAGTGGAGTAACAAAAACAATAATACAGATGTAGAGTTCATTCAATTCATCGGTAATTGCTTAATTTCGTTGTATGGTTCTTTCCTTTAATATTTATGAATGCTTTCGTTTCGATCAAACAGATCCTCATCAACCAAGAACAAACAGTTATACAGAATGGCATAGAAGTTTGAATATCAGGCTCGATGACATCCTCAGTTCTGACTTCATAAACAAAGAACAACGAAATTTTTCAGTAAAAATGACTTTTTTTGCCTATTTTATCCACTAATATAAACATGTAGACCAGTTACCATTATTGAATACAGTAAGCATTTAATCAGCATCAGTAGTACTAATGTCATAGTAATATAATAATAGTATTGGTACTGAATGGTGACTGTAAGTGAAACGGTGGGGCTCGGACCAGCAACCTTCGGGTTACCGGACCAGTCCTACACCAGCTGAGCTACAAAATCTAACTATTGGTCAGATTTTATTTTACTCCAGTCATCATCCAGTATCAATACAAATCTGCGGGAGTACAGATATCTCTGTTATGTAATAATAATATTTGGCAGTAGTGCAAAACTTACCAGTATGTGTTCTTTTGTGAATTTTTAAATTTTCACTACGTGCAAACACTTTCATACATCCACTGAATGGACATGGGAATGGTTTTTCACCAGTATGTACACGTATATGATTAACTAATTTATACTTTGCTTTAAATGGTTTCCCTTCTCGAACACAATCTTTCCAATAGCATGTATGATCCAATTGTTCTGGTCCACCAACATGTTCTAATGTAATATGATTAACAATCTCTGTGACAGAATCAAATACTCTTGAGCATGGTTTTGGCTGAGAACCGGGTATTGTAGGCACTGGATCAACCCATTGACAGTAGTATAATTCACCGCTAATTAAATTTCTTGTATCACATGTTGGTATAGCAGAGATAGTTGCTGAAGCAATTTGTTGACTAGCTGTTAAACGATTGGTTAATAAATGTTGGGGCATATTATACAATCCACATGCAGCTGATGAAGCTAAGTATGTTGGCATTAAAAAATTCGTCTCTGATGTATGATTATTCATGTTGATTGGGGAGGAGATCGGTGTTGATGTCGAATAATTCGACTGTTGTTTTACACGTCCTAATGTTTGATTATGTAAATTATTATTACTATTGTTATCACTATTATTAATACTCAGTTGTCTGTCATTTAAATAACGATAAAGTTGTGCTGTATTGGGAGCTGAAGAATATGATAGAGTTGAAAGATGTGTGGAACTATGGGATGTAGGATAACAGGAGACGGTAGAGACAGCAGGAACTGCAGTTGATGTCATGCCTGTTGGATATGTAGGTAAAATGTTTGATGACTGTTGAAGACTATTCATTGGTTGACGCCATACATTGGATAGATTGACATCACACCCAGTAATATTAACTGTATCTTCGGTTAGTTCATCATTTATTGGCGGTGATGAAATATACCGCTGAGGATACAGAAGCTTCAATTGATTAGCAGTGATTGACTCCTTACATGTATGAGTTTGCGGTAATCTAGTAAATGAATGATGATGATAAGAGTTCGAAGGCATAAAATTATCAATCATATTATTACTATTATTTGTTTGACTTGATAGATAGGACATAGCAGAATTTAAATCTCCACGGTTGTTGTAAGCGAGTCTTGTGTTTGCCATCAACGTCGATGATGTTGATGAATATGGTGTATTCGTTGAGAATGGATTACTACTGTCGGTCACATTTCTGGATTCATTTAATAATCGATAACCTTCAATACTTGATGCATTTGTTGTATGACGGGATAAAGTAGAATCTAAACATCGTTGAATTGTTGTATTTTGAGGTAAATGTTGTTGGTATTGTGAATGGTGGTGGTGCCGCTGTTGCTGCTGCTGATGATGATGATGAGATTGTTGTAATAAAGAGTCATTTGTATAATAATTGGAGTATGCTAACGAAGTATCTGATGCAAGGGTAGTTTGTGTTTTTAGTTGGGTTTGTGATTGAGTAATTGCCCCAGCTGGCAAAACATTGTACAATTGTGTATGCATATCAGCGTTTCTCTTCTCTCTCTCTCTCTCTTTTCTTTGTTGTTAATTTCACTTTCGTGGGGGAAAACAGAATAACAATGCCAGTTGCGAATAAATTTGTCTGTATGTGTGTTTTGACCTGTTGTAGTTGTGTTCTTTTCTTCTTCAACAACAAAAATAACAATAATAGTAATACTCAGCTGGAATTGTGTTCAATTAGTAAATATTAATCAGTATGAAACATGTTGTTAGGGTCTTTTGGAACCCTACTGGATGATCGACAGGTTGTCTAATATCAAACACAGAGGTCATAAATTAGTGCAGATTAGTGCGGTTTGTTGCCAGTGTTCATTACCACGTGGTTTCCTCACTGTTGGTAATTTCATACATTCATAAGTACGGGAAATATATTTCACAAGAAGATGGTTGACAAAGTCTTGATACGACAGAAAGCCGAGTGACAAAAGTTACTCACCAGGATGTAGTACACTTTTGTAAAAATATCAACTACTTTCTGACGCCCCCTTACCGTGCGATCAAGTACACTGTCCGGGAGGTTGGATTGCACGCTGAGTGATGACACTTTACAAATGGTCAGCTTTATTCCCGCTGCGTCTGACACCGATAGATTTATCAGTTCAGCAATACAAATAAATTTGACTTTAGACAACAGCTATCGAATATTCTTTACCTGTCTATCAGGTATCTGATTCGAATGCCGATATGCGATAGGTTGAAAAAAATCAACCATCTACTAGTAAATAACGAATCGTCAATGTATCCCAAAAAAGTAGAGGGTGTGTGTAGTGTACCACCTACAGTGAACATAATTAAAGGGTAGACAGAATTCAGGCAATAAAGGTAACAATTTATTCGTTATCTCCGTGAGTTGGTAATACAATAAACTTAACCGCAAAATATCATGAAATGATTGGCAGGAGTAGTGATAGTTTAGTGATCAGGCGCAGATAAGGAAGCAAATAGGGTAAGAAAACGATAGATGTATCTGAATGTATGATTGGTCACAAGAAGTTGCAATGCTATTGGCTGATTGCCATGGTGTAATTCTGATTGGTTTAAATATATTTACCCTACAAATACGTTCATTTTGAATGATAAGGTAGGTAGAGAAATTTTATCTCACGTCTCATATGTGATAACTAACTTTTCTTTTAAATGAATGAAGCATCATGTATTTTCAGCGACACCTTAGTTATCACCAGTGCAAACTATAAATAGATTACTAAGTCACTGACTATTATTTATGTTTCAGAAGCAATAACAACTAGTTTTTGTATTAATGACGGATAATCTAGGATCTAAGATAGGCATTACGTTATCTAGACGTACCTGATCCCCAGCGAGTGGTGTTGTCCTCATGAGGATTCTAACCTAGGACTAATCACTTCAAGTGCCCTACACACAAGGAGTGGCTATGGCGACTGACTAGGATATGAAGCGATGGGTACTGGGTTTGAGCCTTAGTGTGAACAACATAACCCACTGAGAGGCAGGTAGGCTCAGCTGACGAGTCTCAAATAGTATGGAAGACACCTTCTGAATTCTATTTCTGGCGGTTACCTTATGTTTTTGCTTCCAAATTTCACCAGGTAACTTGCTTAAATGATTTAGGTAGCTCAAGCTGAATTTTATTGTTATTATTTGTCCTTTGGGTTCCTAGTAGAACATAAGGCTTCAGTAACACGTCACCATTTCAACATCTTCTCTTCAGTCTCCTCAACCTCAATCCACCACTCACCACAACCTCTCACTTCTTCCTCACACAATCTCCTCCATGTCACCCTCACCTCCGACACCCAACTCGTCCTCTCACATTCCACTTCCACTCGTCAGCTTTGGCCTGATACGTGATGTCCCCAAATGGTCTTCTCACTCTCTGTCCAATCCAATCCAATCCAAGCCACTCCAAACCATCTCCACTTTCTTCTTCTTCTTCTTCTTCTTCTGAATATTTGTTTGGTGATAGGTTGTTGCTTCGTTGGATGTTTTGTTGTTTTGTTGGTTGTCAGTCGGAGTGACTTCCTCCTTGTTTATTCTTATTATTCTGGCCACCCATCCATCCACCCATCCATCCATCCATCCATCCATGCATCTGATCTGATCTGATCTGATCTGATCTGATCTTCAGTAATGAGTGAGTGTAGGTGGCAGGTGTTCATGTGATATGATGTATGTTTGTAGATTGTTGGAAATGCTTTTCGTAAGGCTCCAATTCTCTCAACCATCACATGGAAGCACTGACTTTCTTAACAGACATTATTGTTTAGAATCCGGATGTTGTTAACACTTTATGTTGAGTGCAGTGCAGTGGAGTAGACCTTCAGACTAGCTTCAGGTTAATGAAGTCCCGTTTTGCTATTTTCCGATCCTGGCTGCTTTAACGTCCTCATCTGCTTACGCTGAGGCTGTGTTATGTTGTACTGCTCCTAGTGAGTAATTTAGTACATTCTGTCACAATGATTCTTTATCCTCTTTGTTACCTGAGGTAGTGTATTTACAGTGTTTTAAAGCGTTATTTGTTTCTTTATTGCGTCGCATTTTCATATAGAATAGAAAACTAGTTTTCCCACCTTAAGTTAATTCACTTGCTGGTTTGTAACAGTCGACTGGTTGAGAAAGTTTGAAATCATCTAGAGGAACCATTAAAAACATGGGAGGAAGGAACAGCTTCTTTCTTTATCCTAGTTTGGGTTTCTATATGACCCAGTAAATAGTAGAGCCAATAACCGTTAGCTCTGTCAGCTGGGTGCACAATCATCTACTTTCATCACTTCAGCATATATCACCATTGAATATTTATTCTTACACATGACTTCCTTCACTGGAAACGTCATGACTTCTCATTAGGAATCTGGGAAATTCATTTTAAAGGAAATAACCAATGGGGACTGGACAATAAGTAATCCAATTGGGGATTAGTAGAACCACTTATACGTGTCTCAGATTGAGGGGGTTTTAAAAGATGGATACTATATTCGAATATTATTGAATTCCAAACTAATAAAATGCTTAGTAGCTTTAGTAGTTGACGTGGTACAGTTGAGTAAGCACGATGAGTTTAGCTTCATAGCACTATGTTGTTTTTCGTGTGACTTTTAAAACTTAAAACCAAAAGAAAACTGTACATAGATAACTAAAGTGTCATGGTATTCAGCTTAATGGCCAGATTGAAGGTTCACTCGACAAACCTCGACCAGTTTCCAGCATCTGGGATCAGACAGATACATCTTCCACTCCCTGGCAACCGATTTGAGCGCATAATTCATTTCTATACAAGTTCATTTGTGGATTCAGTAGCTCAGCTGTAAAGTTTATGATTTTATCACTGAGTGACGAAGGTTTGGATCATATTTACAGATGCGTCTTTTAGATGAGTACCAACAAGTGCAACAAACAGACCTATTACTTTCTCTCATGATCGCTTACTGCAGGATGGTTCACATAGTACCGAACAGCTGTTTCAACCTAGCTGTAACGAGAAATCGTGACCTGTGGGTCAAACCATGTCACATCTCAGGACAGCTACCCAACAGTGGCTTTGTATATAGTTGGTACTATATCGCAAATTGATTAAGGGAGGAAAAAATGTGGACCAGTGGCTCAATAGTTACGTGTGGAACTTGAAGGTCTTGGGTTCGACCTCTGCAGGGTCATAGCTGCGTACTGGTGAGGAGTGCTAAGGTATGACGAAACCGCTATCCGGTGCTTTTAGGTTTTCACTGGTTCTCCAGCTGATATCACTCTGTGATGAATATCAACTTGAAATCAATAAAATCCCCACCAACCTTCAACAATTTGTAAACATAATATTTTAATTTGACTATCTGAGATAGCTGTAGTTTGGGAGACTAGTATTTACTACTAGGTGATGATTGAAGGTGAGATGAAAACCTGGACCATTGCCGGATTCCAACCAGCAACCACCGGGTTTCCGGCCCAATATTCTACCAACTTAGCTATGACGTCTAATTGCTGACCAGATTTTTATTTCACTTCAATCATCATAGGTTTTGCCCAACTACCATGTGAATGCATAATGCTTTACTACCACTTGGTCGTGTTGAAGTGATTGAATTGAAATAAAAACCTGGTCGTGGCTCAGTTGGTAAGCCTTTGGGTCGGAAATCCGGTGATCACTGGTTCGAATCTAACCGTGATAAAAATTTTCATTCCACCATCAATCATTATCCTGTATAGATAAAAATATTTTATTACCACTCATTGCCTTTTCATTTCAATCATTTGAGTAGTAATTTTGTATAAAATACTTTATACATGAATCATATTTACCACATGATCACTGAGAATAATTAATTTTTCATTACAAATTTAGGAGCGTATGAAAGGAGTGATTAATTACGCTAACTTCATTTGGCAAACTGATCTTTACTTGAACATTGAACGACGACTAGAGTTCTCATCAGGATATGAACTAATGACTCCTTAAGAGATCAGTTTGGCTGATTTATAGGTAACGAATGGTATACCACTTGGCATCGTTATCGTTCTGGATGAATAGACGTGTTGTAATTGTAGTGAAGTTAATTGGAGAAATGTAACCCTTCATTGAGGAATTTGTGAGTTTAACACCTAAACTCAACTTTAGTACCCTAAATCCAATAGTCACGAGCATTGTTGCGTATATAATAAGCAAGCCATTGTAATGATTTGCTAAGTGGTGGCTAGCAGTATAATCCAGTACCTGTTTTTCGTCCTGTTTAGGTCTTGTCATCTAAATGTACATGCACCTCGATGAGTGATAATGTTCCTACTGGGACTCGAACCTGGCCTGCTGAAACCTGTTGAGCTTCAATAACCTAGTTCATAACTCTCCGATGTTTGAAGAGATGGGTTCTTGATTTGAGTCTCAAAAGGAATTTCATTACTTACTTACTGGAATAGAGATATAGCCAGCTGACAACTTTGAAACAGAAAGAAATACGTTTATCAGGGCATCTGCATTGCAGCTCACATTACCGACGTAGGTTGAACAACTGGATCTGATATAACAATGGAAATCTGTAAATACCAATAGATTACAGCTGTTATATATCTCGCCACACCAAGATCGATTTCAATTAGGTAGTAAGAGAAAGAGTTCTTTTTGTGAATGTAACCACTGGTGAAATAAATGTCATTAGATTTCTCATACTGTGTCATATACATATGAGTCACTTAGCTGTTTTAGTTTAATGGATATATGCTTAGTAGCTGGATATCTTAGTTTAGACTAGAGGTGCTTCAGAGAGTCATAGTTCGTTCTTCATTTTCATCATTGTAGATGATTTGCACCTTATCAGCACTGTCTCAAATATCTTTAAAAATATGCATACAAACAAATAACTTACTTTTGTGAACTTTACACATAAGTTAAGTGGTGTTTTATTTCACCTGTTTTGTCCTTTTACCAGACTCCTCAGCAGTATACGCTTATGACCGTGCCATGGATCGAACTTAGGAACTTCAGGCTATCAACTGAAAGCCTTGGTGAATAGTCATGCCATATCGTGAATTGACGAATGTAGGAGGCTGTGAACCATTGAAATCCTACCCTGAGTGGTCAACTCATTCACCAGGAGCAAGATCTGAAAGTTTTTAGTTTGTTTTGTGGAGGGTAGAGTTATGTGAGGTTACTGCTGAAAAAATCTCATAATAGGACGA